GCAACTCCCTTAAAATATTTTTGAAATAGAGCTTTTTCAAACCTCTCTTGTTTAATACCCATAACAAAATATTTATTTTAGGTTACTTACACCGATTTGAACTTTTTGAACAGGTGGCAACCTATAAAAAATATGTTCGTAAAAAATTGTTCTTGAACCTGTTCTAACAACCTACCTACCGATTTTTTTTTTCAGTTTAAGTCTCTTTGCATGACCTACAATCCTAAGTATCTTTTTGTTGAAAATGATTGGAAGGCTCACAATTTTTTTCTATCAGAGATTTTTTATTAAAAATATTTTACTATATCAAACATACAAAATCTAAAATTCTTTCGCAATTGTCATCATCCCATTGGAAACTTTTAGCAAATAATTTTATACAATGTTGACTATTTTTATAATTATCTGGTTGACCTTTTGACCAGTGCGTATATTCGATAAGCGGTCCATCAATGCCCCAATGCCATGTCTTCATATCAATTAACTGATTGCCGGCTGTCCAAAAGGGTTGGTTACGTAAATCTGCATTAAAAATATTAAAAATTATTTTAAATAAAAATTAATAAATTTATATGAAAATTCATAAAACAATTTCTACGTTAACCCTTTTACATACTATGTTGGTCAAGAAATTCCTCGAGTTCTTTCTGCATTTCGGCCGAATTCAAAACGACTAGTCTTGAGTTATTTCGCTGACAATACACATTTGCGCCAAACCAATTCGCCTAAAATATATTTAAAATCTTATTTGAGTCAACTGAAATGAGTAAACTATTCTCGCCACTTGCCTTCGCCGGAGATAGATAAAATGTCGCAGATGACTTTGAGGGCTTTGTGGTTGTGGTAGTTGACTGTGTTGGCACTAAAGTCAGTCGTGTCGTAGTCGGGAGTGTCGTATTCGGCTTTGGCGATACCGTAGTCGGTTTAATTGGCACTGTCGATGGTTTTGTCGCCGCTGTTGTCTCTGCAAATGAAGGAAATATGATTCGTTAGAAGAAGCTTGTCTCTCTTCGCCGGTATTTCTTGTTCAGTGGTGATCCTTGTTTAGATTTCCCGGTACGCAACAACTGGCACTACATATATCAGATATTTATTTGTAAGCTCTTACTTACTTTTATTAAAGGGCGGCCCAGTTAAGCCAACAGCCAATTGGGTACGAAAACTCCCCAAAACTAATATCAACAGTATCAAATAATTTGAAAATCGTTGCATTTCTCCAGTTTGCTTATAACTCACAACTAAGTAATTAGATTTCCAAAACTTACCATTTTATATGGAGAATTTCTGCGTCTTCTTTACTAATTTTGTTAAGATTATTGCTATCTAATTTTGTTTAACAACTGCTACAGTTTTTGATAATTTTTTAATCAGAGAAATGCTAACGCTCTTGTTTTTATTTTTAGATATATGTATGGTATAGGTATAGTCAAAGATACGAGTGCAGACATAAACACATAAACATTTAGAGATAAAGTGGAGTAAAATTGCCTTTCTTCTACACCACAACCGTTCCTCCCATTCACCCGCGTCCTTCTACAAAGTTCCACCAATTATTCATCATAAGGGCAAAATAGTGCTTTCACACATGGTGCTTCCTATGGGCCCTTGCTTTCGTTGCAAAATGCACAAATTGGGTTTCGAACTTCATACCTTTGCCTTTTATTCCATTTTCTTAAACTTCGGCGGGCAGACGCCAAAGTACTTATTGCACCATTCAATTAGATAAATCTTAGTTTTTTTCTGCCTTTAACTGAATTCTTGTCTTTAAAGAGTTCGTACAATTCTTCATCCATTCCTCCGTTTCGGTACTCATCGTCCACACCAAAAGGGTCATAACTCTTCCTTAGAATAGTTCACTCAGAATCTGCTCATCATTATTCCACATTGTTCAACTTTCTGCGCCATATAACAGGTTGGCCAGGATTAGGGATTTTGAGACTGCAATATTATTCCAACAAAGCCTAAAGTAGGACCTGTTCGCATAGTTGTTCTTAGGCATACAACGTCCTTCTTTGAGGCGCTCAATTTGGAAAGTTAATTTACAACGTCAACCGTTGATGCAATACTAACCCCAACAAAGCAATTAAGTGTTTCCTTAATAGGCCAAACAGGGTGGTAGCTAAATTTCTTCAGAGACCAAACAAAAAATGCTAGACTATCGAGCTCTGTTTACGAACGAAAAATCGATTGTGTCACGAAGCCTGGGAGCGATATATGGCCTCCCAAACTAACACCACCCATAGTGTACATCTTGCTTGGTGGATAAGCGTAATACGAAGAATTTTGTCTGCAGCTGTCCGACATTAGCCAGACTCAGGTGGTGCATTTTAAGGACATACATATGTATTGAGACTGAACAAGTTATAAATCTAGGTCGTTACAATTGCGTGGACCTGACTGTAGAGGGAACGACATTGTAACGAAAGCGAAGGCTCTAAAACCAACAAAAAGGTGGGATTTTATTTCTTTCAGGATATTACACTTTGTGAACATATTCTCAACGTAATATTTGTCAGCTCGAAGGCCACACCGGTAACACCCTATCAATTGGACTTCTATCGTCCACCCAATATGATCTATAGGACCTTAGAGATGTTGTGGATTGGGCTTCCAATCTTCGGGCGTACATTCACCAGACCAATATCAGAGGACAGTTTTAAAAAGGGTTAAAAAAATCAAATTTAATTTACGTGAACACTTGCAATCGGTATAACCTTCTTGAAAGTTTGCCAAATTGCTAAATTAGATTTCTTAGCATTTTGCTGTAGTGTCGCAAAGAAGTGCTTGAATTTTGTATAAAAACGTGCTATAAGGTTTTTTTGGGTATGGGAAAGCCATTTCTGCACTTATATTTTTCTTAAAACTTCCAGCAGAAGGCGCAACAGTGAGAATTTTCACATTTTCTACCAAACTTATTTTCGCAATTTGGTTAACTCTAAATTGATTTTATACCCAAGGTTTCTTCGGAAGTTTTTCTTAGAATTACACATAGAATTCTCCTATGCCAAACGCGCATAGTAAAAAAAACGGAAAAATTGATTCGCCCTAATGTACATATTTGTGATTTACTTTACGCACAAACGCAAAAGGCTTTTAAATGAAAGTATTTAGCTAATTGTCTTAGGAATCCGGACAATTTGAAAATGCCACTGAAGTATTGGCAACCAAGAAATTTACAAGTTCGCCACCAACAAAAATAAAATTCAACTTTGTGATGTTAGAGGTATGGGAACAACAATGCTCGAGTTGAAGGCATTGACTATTGAATAAGTTTATATATTGAATGTAGTTGTTACAAATGCATGCATGTAAGTGTGTATGTACGCTTGTGACTACAGCTGTCGGCGACATCATTTGCAGAAACTCGAATGTTTGGAAAAAGTTTTCTCATTCAATTCAATGCTAAAGAATCGCTTCTTTTTTATCTGCGCTCGAAAATCGTTTTGCCGCAATTGCTTGTCGCAAAAGCTTTTCACTTAGCCGAACATACACAAACACACACTCACACTGACTTATAAATACACAGCAATCAAGCGAAAAATGCCGCATTTTATTTGCAAAACTTTTATTCAATATACATAGTTTTTTTGTAAATGCACTTTTTGTTGCTGTTTTTGTAGTCATTGCACGCCAATGTTGTAATTGAATTTCGTTTAGCGGCCGCGCGCGCACACGCACGCTTTTTCTTACGATACATATGTCACTCACATATGTATGTTTGCCTGTCTGCCACTCCTCGCTTAGCTCTGCTGGATTGTCCTTAGCGGCTGTGAAGTAATTGCATAAAAATCTTTGCAATCGAGAAAGAAGTAGCGAGCGAGTGTTGAAGAAGTTGGCAACGCGGCGTGCGCATATGTGACCTGTCAATGACGCTACTAACGCAGAAGAAGGCGCTGAAAGTTTTCTTTGCTTGCCCATACCAACTTCGATTCGGCTGGAGTTTCCTTTTCATTTATGTATTCTCTTTGAACTTCACGACAGGGAGGAGCTAAGAAAGGCAACGAGCATAAGTGGAAAGGTGTCCCTTGGCAATAAATTTGCACTGAAGCGTGTTAGTGGGCATCAATACGGCTGGGGCGAGTGAATTTTCTTTAGCTGTTGCTTGCATTTTTTTCGCCCCTCTTTTTTATTTCTCTTTAATGTGGCGCGCCAGTTGAGGTTAAGTGCTTTGCACACAACACACACTCTAAGACAAACATACACACACTCCACCACGTAAGGCGCAAGAAAAGTGCGCACTTTCACTCTTTTTTCTCGAAAACATTTTGTTGATCTTTTTCTTTGAATCCTTTTTTGTATTTGCTTTCTATGCATTTTACTTTTTTGTTAGCTGTTTTATTTTTTTATTTCTTTTTTTTTGTGTTTGCTTCTATCGTTTTGTTTGCTATCTACATCGTCGTCTGCGGTTTGTTATCCATCGCTAAATTGTTGTCATTGGCATACGCCAAGCGCGCGCTCGCTGCGTGCAATCGAGCATTAAATTGCCAGGGCGTATGAGTAACCGAAAATTTCGTGTATGAGGCGGCAGCGGCGCTCTCTCTCTCCCTCCCTCATTATCATTGTGTGCAGTTTTTTTTTCGCTAAATCGAAAAACTCGATTTGCCGACAGTTCAATTTGCAGATTAGTTGGCACAACTGGCGAGTGGTTTGGCTTCGGATTCGTTGGAAAGGTGTGAGTAATTAACCTTTTTAGTTGATAGGCCTTTACTTTTATCATCATACGGTTGGGGAGTTACAAATTATCTTCACAGTTACAATAGAATGCAATGCTGTTGCACGAGTAAGAAGTCTGCAAAGAACTTGTGGCGCATGCTGTGTGTGTGAGAACTTTCAGAGAGATGGTTAGGGCCTGTTGTAGTCATACAAAATGGGTGCTGGGATCTAGATTTTAAATATGGTGGTTTTCACTTTTAAAGCAAGACCGTACCCAAAACTCGACAAAGTCCTGGATAATCCTAAACGTTCCTGAAACTCACGAAAATCCCTGATAACTTGAGAAAACGGCACTTAATCTGCACAGATACCGAAAAGTCCCAGAAATTCCCTAAAAAATTCAATGAGACCTCAAAAAGCCCCACAAAATGCCGAAAAAAATTACCGAACTTTTGTATATATTCATTAAATCTTCAAAGATTCCGAAAAGTCTGGAAGTTCCTTAAAAATAACAAAATACTCCAAAAAAGGTTCAAAAAGTCGCGCAAAATAATAAAAAACATTCTTAAGATCGCGAAAAAAATCTTAAATAAAACAGGAAAAATCCCGAAAGCTCTTAAAATAATCCCGAACACACAAATTCTAAGAATTGTGGAAGATCCTTTTAAAATACCAATTCTGGAAAAAGTCGCAAAAGTTCCTGAAAACCCCCGAATTATCACGACAAGCTCCAAACAAAAAACAAAACCTTAAGCTCCAAAAATACTGAAAGGTTTCAATAAAATTCCAAAAGTTCCAAAATTTCTCGGTATTAACCCAAAAAACTACGAAGAAGCCCTGAAAACGTTACAGAATTTCCTGGAAAATATCGAAATAATTCCTGTATTTTACCGGAAATCGATCTTTAAAGTTAAACACAAAGGATCACGAGAAGTCCCAAAAAAAAACGAACAAAATTATTCCATAAATTCTCGAAAAATAAACACGAAGGATCCCAAAACGAAAATAACGAAATGTCCCCGGAAAGTCCCGAAATTTCTTGAAAAGTTAAAAAAAAAAAATCAAAGGGTCGCGAAGAAATTTTGAAAGATCCAAAAAGGTTCCAGAAAGAATCCAAAAATTAAATATGAAAAATCTCGAAAGGTTCCGAAAAATCACTGAAAAACTTTAAAAAAAAAAACAGGTATTCCGAAGAGTACCGAAAACTTCACTAAAAATCTTGAATTGTCCCGAAAAGTGAAACATGAAAAATTCCTGTAGAAAGCAAAGAAGCCTACGAATAACCGCGAAACATAAGAAACGTATTATTTTTTTTAAATAAAAGGATTATTTTTTTGAACATTAGACTAGATAGGTCTAATAACTCACTGAACCCTTAACCAATTTAATTTTCTTAATTAATAAGATTTTTTAGTTACTCATATCCTATTCATTTCTAATCATAATGAATTGATGCCTATGTATAGCAGAACGGAATAAAATAAGCACTGTAACGGTAAATTAACTCCCAAAAGGTCAACATAAACGCTTTGCATAGTAAATAGTTAAATGCCTTGTCTATTCTTCTCTCATCCTCCTTACACTCAACCTTAAGGACCCAAAGCCATTGAACAGCTGGACGAAATGAGAATGAATGAGCGCATTCTGTGCGGATCATTTGTTGTCCAAAAGTCGCATCGAAGGATGGCAGACACAAAAAAAAGCCATCGACGGAAATAAAAAAAGATATAAATAAATAAAATAAAAATTGGTAAGACTAAACGAAGCATTGAATTTAGGAACTTAAAGCGTGTGTTTTACTTATATTTGATGCAGACGGGTAACAGCTGTTGTATGTACTTAGTTAAGTGGGAAAGCAAAGGGACAATAGTAAAATAAATCNCAATCTACAACTATACCTCGTGACAAAACTTCTTCCACAAAAAGTTGCTCACACAACTGTACCTTTGAATTCAAGAGAATTTCGCGGATTCCTTTCAACCACAATGCATCTATAAATAAGTATATGAAGTGCGCATTTGGGATAACGTTACAGAACCGCCTAACGGATTCCGGCCAAGTCCAACAAAGCACGCCAGTCGTTTCAGTAAGCCCATTCACGGAGTTTCTTTTTCGCCGAACCTCATGTGTAGACTTTTTCACAATGGAATTTTTTCCAGTAGATTTAGATTTCATCAAAAAGAGGTGGTCGACTAATTACTCAGTACTGTGACACCATTACGGAGGATGGTTCCGTGCGCAGACGTCCACTTAAGTGCGGAAAGCTTTTGGCTGTCATTCATCTGGGAGTGGCTAGACGTTATTCTTGTGCGTACGGTTCAAATCGTCGCTCACAATATCCGGATATTTATATCCACTTATCCGCTGGGTAGCGACCTAACACCCGATTTGGAACGAGCTAGAGTGAGAGGGCGTTACACTTCGCCTGCGATGGGTTTGGATGAGACCCCCTTTTTTTGGTGGCGACCACAGCAAACGTATAAAGGACTATGATTTTAGGGTATGCACCTGGAATATCCGGACCCTTAATGGGGAAGGTGCGTCTGCCAGGCTGGTTGATGTCCTCGGGTAGATTAAGGCTGACATCATCGCCATCCAAGAAATACGATGGACGGGGCAAAGCAAAGTAAGCGTGGAGCCTTGCGACATTAACTACAGTTGCCACGTAAAGGAGCGCAAATTCGATGCTGGATTTGTGGTGGTAGAGAGACTCCATCGCCGAGTACTGGCGTTCAACGCGGTGGACAAACGTCTAGTCACAATCCGCATCGATGCCCAGATGGAATAGAAGGATGAGGCGTCTAAGGGTATCTTCCATAAGCGCTTGGCGCTTTCATATGACCGCTGCCCCCGACACGATATAGAAACCGTGCTTGGAGATTTCAATGCCAAGGTGGGCAAGGAAGGGATCTTTAGCGTCATTGTCGGAAAATTCAACCTCCACGACGAAGCGTCCGATAACGAACTGAGACTGATCGACTTCGTCGGGGCCCGAAACATGATAATATCTAGTACTAGGTTCCAGAATAAAAAGTTCCAACAAGCTACATGGCTGTCTCCAGATCGTCTGATGACAGCAGACAGCCAATGCATTCGCTACTCGACTCTCATACCTGCTCTCTGAGAACAATCTTCAACAAACCGACATATGCGCGCAGTGGAACTACTTCTCCCGTTCATTAAGTATCGCCGCCGGGAAAAAGAGTCGGATTTTAGCGGGCCCGTAAGAACAACTGGTACGATGGGATGTTGAGTGTCAAGCTGCGATAGGGCGCAACGCGAGCCATGTGGGACCGTTAGATGGAACTGAAGAGAAAGCGAGACGTATTTGCCGCAATAAGAGTGAGGCCGAAATATACGTCAGTGCGAAGCGCTTAAGATGCTGGCCGACAGGAAAAACGCCCGAAAATTTTATCAGAGACTTAGGCCACTTATACGGTATTCGCATGAGGCGATTTTCCAGGCAATTTTAGAAGCGATTAGTTGAACGTACTTAAATTAAGGAGGGAACACTGAATGGTAGTACCGCTGAAAGTAGCGGAGAAGATAAACCCGAGCCCCCAGTCGATAACGATGGAGTTGATGTCCCACCGCTGGACTATGACGAGGTACGAATAGCGATTACACGGCTGAAAAACAACAAAGCTGCTGGAGCTGACGGCCTGCCAGCCGAGCTCTTCAAGTATGGAGGAGAGCAGCTGATAAGGTGCATGCATCAACTCTTATGCAGAATATGGTCAAACGAACGCTTGCCCGACGATTGGAATTTAAAGGACGGGGCTCGTTCAGAACCATTTCGCGATTAGTTCGGGATCACTTCGGGACTAGCTGGGGGCCAGTTCGGGACCAGTGAGGATGATGAACTGGACCCAAACTTAGCCCCAACTTGTCCCAAACTACTCTCCAACTGGTCCCGAACTGTTCGTCAATTAATCCTGAAGTAGTCCTGAACAAGCCTTTTTCGCACTCATAATTTTTATGAAAAGACTTTTGTAATGTAAATCCTTGAATTAATTAGAGATGGCTCGAAAAAATGTTATCTAAATATAATAATTATTGATTGACTTTTATTCTTTATTCTTTTCTTTGATAAGCTCATGCATTTTGTAAAGCGTTATAAATTTCCCATAAGCGCTTTGAAATGTGGTAGAGCTACTCTTAATTTTACTTGGCCAAGGCAGAAAGTTCCCAATTTAATTTTTCTTGAAGCTTGGCGTGCTAATTTGGGGCCAAGAGTAAGTCCATTTCTTCCATTTTTACTAAAAAATATGTCCGTAATTGGAGAAAAATCTTAGGCTATCGCGAAGACATTGCGTCTAAATTCAACCAAAGTTTTACAATTCCAAAAAACAAACTTGCTTGCCGCGCCACCTACACTCGCATAGCTGCACTTAACATTAAAGCCACTTCAAACACCTTTTATATCTCAGCATTCACGCAGCACAGACAAGCACCGCACAAATTATACCGATTATAGTGAAAATAATGTTCACCATTTCCAACACGTTTGGAACTTACCAACTGGTGAATTCATATTTGTTATCATTCTTATTGTTGCCTTTGCCGCGTTGACATTCGCTTTGTGCCCAGCCGCTATGCCTTTTTCGTAAATATTTACGAAGTAGAAGTAGAGCACTAGCAATGAAGTTTAGGAAATGGGAAGAATCGCAAAACCACACAGAGTTGCATGCCGGAACAGGCCATTGAGGAATTTCTGCGCTTGAGGAATTTATTTACAGAGAATTTTTGATTCGTTTTAAATTTGTTTCGATTTACCATTCTACCGCATTTTTAAACATACTCATCGACATTTTGCTGATTTTGTATGCATTTTTATGAGATCTCTAATGTTAACTGAAATTTTTTATGAAAGAAGATCTAAAATATTAAACTCGGATATTTAAAAAAACAATCAAATTCTATTATGCTTACGAATCTGAGTATATATTTGACGAAAAATTACTATAAGGAGGACAAGTTTTTTTATTTTAAATTATTTATCATTATGTGAGTAGAACTCTAAGAGTAAATTTATACACCGTCTTTTAGGTGTAAATTTCAATCTGATATTTTTGAATGGCATGAAAAACGCTTTAAAACACAAAGCAAAGGTTCATTTTTAAGTTTCTTCCAAACTCCTATACAAAATTTGTTTAGAAATTTCGCATTCTTAAAATCAAATTTCTCACACTTCCGATTGGGCATTTACTTCAACCCAAATCAATTTTTTATGTCATCTGGCAGCGCTATCAGAAGGGAGAAAGTTGAAAACAAAGAAAACTAATGTCAGAAACGAGCAGAATTTCAAAGCGGTTGGACGTGTACGCGGTTGAATTAAAATATTTTTTATAAATACCCAAAATAAAAAGTGAAATTTGGGCAAATTAAAGTGCAATTGGTGTAAGTAATATTTTGAAGTGTTTGCGCAAACATTTCGTTTATCAAATTGGCGCAGGGGTTGAAGCAATAAAAGGCCTTTGGCTGGCGATTTGTGAAATCAATAGAATGCAATATGCGCTGCAGCTGTGCAAATTGTTATGAAAATTTGAAAATTCAATAAGCCGTGGCGCCGTCGAGGAGCAAGCGCATCGTCACTCGCACCGCTTGCCTCCACGTCCCTAGGGGCTAGCGGTTGCAGCAAACAGCAGCGGCGTTTGCAAGCGATAACAATGCAAAAAGCAAACAATTGCATGCATCGTGCGCTGGGAACAATAAAAATTAAAATATAAATTTTATGCAGCCAACAAATAATGAAAAAGGAAGCATAAATAAATACATACAAATAAGCTATTGCGTGGTTGCGCTTTAAAGTGCAAAGAAAGCGTAGAAAGTGAAAAGCGCGCGACGTCAAAAACAAAATGCATTGAAAAGCGACAAAGTCGCGTATGACAAAACAAAAACAAAACGATGACATACATATGTATAAAAATCTTGCTGATAAAATGAGGGCTTCGAAATAATTTTGTAGCCTCAAAAACATTCCACGCCTACTATTTATTTCGTATGTACATATAGTGTTGTGTTTTGTGTTTTTTTTTGTTATTTATTTATTCAGCTTTCGTTCTTTTTAGGCGCTTTTATTTTGTTTTATTAGCCCACATTTCGCGCCTGGCGACTGACAAGTGTGGGTGGCGACAGCTGTCAATTTCTTGTGTGCAATACAAACAAAAAAAAAACAAGCAAGTGCAATATTCGAGCCGGTGTAAATTAATTAATTTTCATTGAGAATTAATTGAAATGTCAAAAAAGCCGGCTGTGTGATCGGTTGCAATAGCTACAACAAAAGATTACTTAAGTTGTAAAGTTGAAGTGACAAAATCTACATATTAATGTTTAATATTTATCCAAAGTAAACGCCAATTACAAGTACTTATCAAAAATCAACCAACGGGCGCAATAGCAGTTAAGGTAAGTCTTAATAATTATTTAAAATATACTAAACAAAGTTTGTAATATGATTTTCTAGGTTTAGGTTAGCGCAATGCAAAGAGTGTTTTGCTACAGCCCAAATTTTCATACATACAGAAGTATGTATCTACTTATACGGTGTTTACATGCGGATTTTGCGGGCAACTGTTGAAAACAGCCACCGCCTGGTTAGAACGACTTTTCAACTAATCGCTGCCAATGAAGTTGTTGAGCAGCCATCTTTTTATTCAACTAATTGCCTCTAAAATTGCTTGCAAAATCCCCTCATGTAAATACATGCTTTGCCTGAAAGGATACTTGCAAAAAATAATTTCAAAAACCGTTTTGGAAGAATCTTTTGGAAGAAAGATGTAAATACATATGCGTTGTTTCGGTAACTAAAACTTACTGTCGTAGAAAAGCAAAAACACCCCTGTAGATAATTTCAGAGGCTAAAAGCCCTTTCAAAAAAGAGGCTTGGGAATCAAAAGGCCTTCCACGCTCAATTTTTTCCTCCATTCCTTTTTGTAATGTTAAATAATAAAAACTTACACATTCGCTTAAATTATAAATAGTCCTCGGGCAGATAAATGTAAATGTGGACCGTTCCATTTATGTAGACCAGATTGTGATGAGAAATGGTATGTGGTTTTGGTTGTGGAAAATATAAGCCCTTCTGAGCTGGTTAAGACAAAAAAAAATTTCTATAGAGTCCTTGAAAAAATATAGATATGTATTTTCTATGTACATATGTATGTATGTATATTGCTGCCATTTGATTTATTTCATGTACATATGTACTATGTTATACTCAAAAACAGTTTCTATCTCAGAACGAAATGATCAAACAATACCATAGAGTGTTCTTAAAATTCTTACATGTGTACATGCATTCATTTACATGTATGTACATATTAATATATGCACACACAATATCAAACTCATCCACTTCCTTGTCCTCCTTGAGAAACCATATTTAGCAAGCAGATAGACAGCTTGTTTGGAAGAGCAATAAGCAAGGTCGTTAGAGCTAAGAAAACAAAATGTTGCGAACTTTGTTTACCAAGTCAAGTATTTAAATTGTCAGTCACTTTTACTTGTCTGCCTGTTGACTTCCAAACATACATATAAATTTACTATGTACAAATGTTTGTAGATGCATCTGAGTAAAAATATGTGTGAATTAAAAAAGTAAATACTTACAATCTAATAAATATGTACTTTTGATATAATACTGAATACATTGGTTACAAAATACATACCGCTTCCCTTCAATAAGTTAGAATCCTATCCAATTCCAATAACTAAAGGCGCAAACAAGGTTGTTGAAGAGAAAGAATACATGTACATACTTACCTACTCCAGTGAAGCGGGAGGGTATGTATGTACATACATAACACGAATTTGATTTCGTCACCATAAATATTATTACTACCATATAATTGCATCCCAATGTACATACATAAATATGTAGGTATAGTACACTACTTAAATGTAGTAAATAACTTGTAGATTACTCAATTTGCACTGCTTGCTGATTCACTGTGTGCAAAAATTTATCAATTTCTTTGCAATTAGAACGTGACGAATCAAAACTTAAGTATTTACATACATACATATGTACATACAGTCATGTGAAAAATAATAGGGGTACGACATTGTGACCAGTTTTTGCTATTTTTCTTATCTAATAAAAACCGTAGAAGTCAAAATTTCAAACTTTGTAGAAAAATCAGAAAAATTTAAAAAAAAATTACAACAAACTTTTTATTAAGAATTTATAGAAAAATTATAAATTTCAAACCCTGTAAAAAAATTAAGAAACAGCAAAATTTTACAACAAACTTTTTATTATGAATTTAAAAAAAAAAATAAAATTTAGTATGCAGTTTTACGGCCCGTTAAATTCTATCAATAAAGTGCAAGTTTCAATTGGCTAAGAATTCGCGTTGATTTTTGTTATTTTTGTTCGCCGATGCTGTTATTATTTTCCTCCATACAAAAAAAAATGCGCACATATTTTGTTTCAGCAAAAAAAAAAAAATATCAAAAATCAAGGCGAGTTCTTATCCAATTGAAACTTGCACTTTATTAAGTTAGAATTTATTGTGCCATAAAACTGCATAATTAGAATTTTTCTAAAAATGCTTCATAAAAGTTTGGTTGTTGTAAAATTTTGTTGACTTTTTCTAATTTTTGTGCATTCAACTGTTTGTAGTTTAGTATGCATTTTCATAAAATTAAATATGTAATAAACATTAAGCAAGCAAAAGAAAAATTGTCGAAACTGGTCAAATGACTGTATGTACACATCAAAAATTCCAGTTTAGAAAAGAAAGAATGAGCTATTCGTATGTATGTACGTACAAGTCGTAGGTAATCCATAAATATTGATAGTGAAAATTTTGCTATATCATTTATTTTGTTTTTAACGGAGCTTAAATTCTAACCAACCAAGTGTTTAAAAAACGCCTTTGTATTTGCTAAATATTGACCACGCTTTTACCGCTAACTTCCTTGGCAATTTTTTCGCTACTATGCTATTATTTACTTGGACAAGTAAAAGCTATCGCTGTCTGGTACTTTAACTGTTCCCTACCAAGCAATCTAATGAAAAACAAGTAAGAAAGTCTAAGTTCGGGTGGAGCCGAATATTAAATATCCGGCGCAAGTATTAAATATATGTTTTTCACCTTTCCGAAAGCTACCGCTAGATTGTAAGCAGCGGTGTATCAATTTTGAGTAAATTAGCGTCCTTCAATTTCGAAATATTGCAGTATGAATATGAAAAGCGGCCGTAATTTTAGTCCGATTTCAATAATTTTCAACGTTTTGCTTTTATGTGGCAAGCACAATAAAAATACCGAGTTTGGTACAAATTGGTAGAACGGTTACCGATATACATATATGTGATCATAAGTGGGCGGTGCCCCGC